TGGCAAGAATCTGTGTACTCGTAGGATGTCCCCCCCTTTATTTCCTAAGGAGTGGAGAGTAGAGCAGAGACCCCCCCCCCCCCTACAATCCAGCAAGCCTGGAACTGAGCCGGCACAGCCAGGCTGCCAGTTTCCTCAAACAGCAGGGGGGACTGTGTGACACAAGGGAGGTGCCCGTGGGGTGGTGAAGTCAGTGGGGTTCACTCCTGGAAGTTGGCAGGGGTTTGCACAGACCCCTCCTTACTAGCAGGTTTGAGCTGTTTCAGCAGGAACACCCCTGTGCATTTTTGTAGCTCCCTCTGGGAGCTGGGTGATATTCCTGGAGGGGTTTGCTGAGAGCCCAGGTGGACTTGACCTGAACACATTTGTGGTTTGGAACGGCAAGCCTCATAGTCCTCAGGTCGGGGACCCAGGAAGCCAGGCCAAGGCCTCACCTGTGGGGCCCTCTCCCCCAGGTGAGTGGTCTGGTCTGGAGCCAGCCCTCCCAATTGAGCAGAGATGCCCTTCCCTCAGCTTCAGGTAGATTCTGGAGAAAGACCCAGGCATGTTGGGTCAGCTCTCACTCTGGCTGACCCCTAGGGAAGAAAGTGGGGAGCCACCGTTAACCTGAACTTCTTGCTTGACTTTAATGAACAGGGCTGGGAAAAGTGAAAGAGTAATGTCTGGAGACCTGCCTTCAGACTGGGGGGTGGGGTGGTGGTGGCTGACGCTGGCTTATTGTTTCCCTAACTTTCCTGATAAGAATCACCTGGGTTGCTTGTTAAATACACAGATTATGGGGGCAAGGAGTCTGTTGTCTTAACAAGCGTTCCAGACCATTCCTGTCTTCAGACAGGTTTGGGAAACAGTCTGTCTGCTGTACCAAAAATAGCTTGAGGAAGAGGAGTGCTTTGCAGCAAGTTTAGCTTTGCATATTACACATGAATGGGCTCTTGTTTGCCCTTGTATTGGCACTACACCACAGACGCGTCTTTGACCCCTATCCCAGTCCCTCTTCCTACTAAAGGAAGGGGTTGGTTTGGGGCTTGCCTCTCCCCAGACCTTTCCTTCAAGTTAGTAGTAGAGGTTTCTGTTTCACTTTTCACAAATGGTTATCGTGTATTTATCATCCTACAGTTGCTGCCTTTCCATTCAAAGCAACATCATGAAGAACTATGTTGGCTCATGTAAAGCAAATGCCTTTTTAAAATTTGCTGCTTAATATTCCGTAGTGTGGAACTAGCACAGTTGATTTAGCAGTTCCCCCATTGGTGGGTATAGTGATGGGTATAGTGATTGCTAATTTCTCATTATCATTTGCTTCAGTGAGTATCTTTGCCCATATCCTTTTGTATACATTTGGCACCACATATTGAGAAGTGAAATCACTGGGGATTTCAGTGGGTTTTGCTAAAATTCATCCTTTAATGGGGCTCTGCTCATATACATCTCTGCTGAGAGCATGTGGAGAGTCCCCAGTTCTCCATACAGGTGGCAGCTCTCTCATAAAAGCAACTTGAACTCTTCTGTGGAAGTGTTGCCAAGTGGCCACACCCACCTTCCTCTAGCACTTCCCTGTGGGGGTGAACAGGAAGGCATATTTCCTATCACAGAGCTAATCCTAATCCCTAAAATAAAAACACCAGGGTTCAGACTGCTGGAAGGGATGGAGTTCCACCCAGCAGCATGTGCAGAACAGAAAAGAGACAAACAGAGCCAACTCCAAGCCTGCAAGGAGCCCCGACAGAGAGTCTTGTAGGAGAGGCGATGGGTGTGGTACACTGTGGTCCCCAGAGTAGGAGAGAAGAGGTGTGTGAGGGCTAGCCCTGAGGGCCTGCTGCTGGCTTGCTGGGTGGCTGTGGCAATGTCCTGAGTCTCTGAGCTGCAGGGGCCTTTTGTAAAACAAGGGAGCAGGCTTCTGGGAGACTGTAAACATGGAACTTCACCGCTTTCTGAGCCCGTGGAGTCTTTAGGAGCTCTGGGCTGACCTAGGGTCTGCAGTTTCGTTTGAAAGCAGGATAAGGTGCTTGCCTGAGGTTTAGCACCCATCCTGAAAGGCTGAGAGAGCCGGGAAGAGGTATATCCCTGGTCCCGGTCCTGCTGCTGCTGTTCAGCTCCTTCGCTGCAGGCAGGAAGGTGCACTGGGTGACCACTTTAGCTCTGCTCATGTCCCATGTGCCTGCAGGCAGCCACCAGGAATCCACTGAGCTGAGACCAAAATCCAAGGCAACTTTCTTGTACAGAGAAGTCCCAGCCAGCTCCCTTTGGTTGAATTGTTCAGCTAGATTTATGGGATTTGTCCGCCAACTGAGGCATTTTAAAGCAAAATAAAAGCAACTCCAGCAGGAATCCAAGCCCACATCTGAGGAAACTCATTCCCATTCCTACACACAGAAGAGCAGTAGCGGCCCTTTGACTCACAGTGAGTCCAGGCAGCCTGGACAGTGGTCACACCACCCGGTCCTGTCGCCCATGGCCCTGCACGTGTGGGCTCTAGCTGACTGCCTGCTGAGCTCTCCCAGCACCTGGTTAATTTTTACTCCCTACTAGGACATGATTTTGCTTAAGGTTGGACAGTTGGGTGTAGTGTTTGCCAAGTTTCAGGTTGCTCAAACCTCCAGTTCCCCTCCCTCCTCCAGCCTCGCTTTGAAGTTGAAAAGCAGACTGATTAAATATACATTTTAGGAACCTTCCGATTTGCTTCTTAAACTAACAGAATTCTAAACTTTTTTTTTTTAAACGGAAGGATTTTCAACTGTCAGCAGGTATAACTGGATCCATATGTCAGCAGAGACCAGGGGCTTTTCCTGGTTTTAGGATTTGTAAATTCTTACTGAAACGGAAGTAACCAGGGCAGGCAGCTGGGGGCCGGGTGACAGCTTGAGCTCAGATCTCATTTTAATTAGAAAATATAGATAGCGCCCGCTGACTCACCGGGAGGGGGGGGGCAGAGCTCCCATCCCAGGGTGAACAAAGATTGGTTTATATCCTATAAGCCTTGTGTTTGCAAATCACAGAGCATTTCCGAGCACCTCTGAGAAGGGGCTGCAGCGCCACATTACTATGGAGACCGCAACCCCTCCCCCCACGCTCCCCAGCAAATCCCCCTAAATGATTTTGTTTTGGGGAAATACATCTTCCCTCCCTCATTGCAGACTAGACGGAGGATGTTCACATTGAAAAGAGACAGTGAGGATGTCTGGGGTGAGAGAAATGAGATTAGATGTCATCCACAGCAGTAACATTATTTTCTCCGTTTGGACATCTGGTCCCGTGAACTTAAAACCCGGCCCCTGACGGGCATCTGAACTGTCCTATTTGACTGTGCTTCACGTGTATAATTTTCTCCCTAATGTGTTCTGCAAATGGTAGAGTAGAAATATCAAATGAAAGACATCCCCAAGGCCTAGCTCTTCCCAACCCCCCTCTTTCCCTGGCCCGGTGTCACTTGAGCTCATTGAGTCTCCAGAAAGGCTGCTATTACAGTGTCAGCATCTGGAAGCGCCTGCCGGGTCTGGGAGCCTGGCCGCTGCCCCGCCCATTTCCATGGATGCTCCAGTGCTGAGCACCCCAAGCCCGGGTCCCCCCTGGTGGGCTCTTCCTGTTTGGGGAGCAGAGACCCACAGCCACGTGCTGGGAACTGAGCTAACAGCCTACCACCTCCCCACACACCCACCCATCACATTCAGGGCAGCTGGCGGTCACCCGTGCCCCCTGCCAGGGCTGCTGGCACAAGCTGCCTTTCAGCAGGCAGACAAAGGGGGATTTTCCTTCCCCTTGAGTTTACAGGCCCCTCAAATGCCTTACATTCCAGGAGCTGGGGGAGACGGGGCTCCTGTGGTTTCTAATTAAGCTCACAATTTAAATAACAAATCATGTAACCCCAAGGGCGGTGGAAACAGCTAACCTACCCCCTCCTAAGACCTGCAGCCAGGTGGCTCTGCTGGGAAACTGAGGACTTGCCCCTGATTGCCAGGGGAAGTCACTGAGCACTGGTGTAGCCAGGCTGTGTGGTGGGGGTTCTGGCTCTTTCCCCTCTTCAGGGTTAGAAAGTCAAAAGTGGGAGGAGAGTAGCCCTGTGGCCTGTTGCCTCCACCCTAGAATTACCCCGCTCCTGGGGTGTGGGGGGTTGTGGAACTTGATCTCTGAGGTGTTAGAATCCAGGTATGCACATTCTCCTGGGAGCCTCCTCCCCCCTCAGACCTGCCCGGGTGACTCATTCTTCCTCTGTCAGCAGTGAAACTTCTCTCTGGGGAGAGGCGGGGCTGGGCCCCATCAGAAAAGTGAGGACCCAGGAGCTAGGAGTGGGGGATCCACTGGAGTCCAGGATCCTTAGGTGGAGTCTGGGATCCTCAGTGCTCCAGGTGGTGAAGAAGGGTCTTTGGGTCTCTCACCTCCAGGCGCCAGCGGACGCCCATCCCTCCCCAAGTTGCTTCTGTATTTTCATATGCCCTCTCTGGGGCCACCGTCATCTTTATAGTGGGTTGATCTCACCAAATTGTTGTCTGATGACCAAGGTGTGGTTGTGTTCCAGACCCGGGGAAAATAGAGCGCTGAACGCAATTATCTCTAGACAGCTCTTCTGTGCCTCCGCCAGCACCCCGGGCATGTCAGTGTTTCTAGGCCTTCTGTGATTTCCTCTCCACCTTTTCCACCATTTCCATTTCATTAAACTGAGTAACAAATTACATTAAGTTCCCCAGGATACCGTCCAGGTCCTGGCCTCTGCACTTGGTGCCTGTTGACATCTCCGCCAGAGGCCCTTCTGGTCTCACCTCACTGTGCCTGGAACTGACCAGGCTGTGGACAGGGCCCTGGGGTTTTCCCTGTGCCAGAGCGCTGCCCTTGTGGGTCCCACTGATTACCTGAAGGACTTTGAGCCCACAAGGCTGGGCGGCTGGGCATTGAGGTGGGCTCCCGCCTCCCTCACTCCCCCTTCCCTTCCTCTCCATGCTTATCTGTTAAAGCAAAGCCTGGTCAGGAACTGAAGTGAGACTCACACCCTTCCCTCTTCTCCGCAGGTGACCATAGCTGATGACTACTCAGATCCCTTTGATGCCAAGAATGATCTCAAGAGCAAAGCAGGAAAGGGGGAGAGCGCTGGCTACATGGAGCCTTACGAGGCCCAGAGGATCATGACAGGTGAGTGTCTTAGTTCATTTTCTGTGGCTGTAACAAAATACATGAGACTGGGGAGTCTATGAGGAAGAGGTTTATTATGGTTCTTGATTCTAGAGGCTGGGGTGGTCCTGTCTGGCCAGAACCTCATGCTGTATTAAATCACAGCAGAAAAAAGCAAAAGGGCAAGCAGGTGCATGAGAAAGAGACAAAACACAAGGGGTGACCTTTCTTTATAACAGCCTGCTCTCCTGGTAACTAATCCAGTCCCATGGAGCAAGAATGTCCACCCAAGGAAAGGCTTTGGTTTATTCAGGAGGCCCCCACTCCCCTGACACCAGCACCTCCCACTAAGCCCAGCCTCCAACACTGGCCCCTCCCACTAAACCCTGCCACTAAGCCCCACCTCCAAGCACTGGCCCCTTAAACAGTTAATGAACTCAGCATGAGTTTTGGTGGGGACAAATTACATTTAAGCCCTTAGGACACAGGGACTTGGCAGGGATGTGGAGAAGGAGCAGGAGGGGGCTTGTGCTTTCAAGGTACTGGCTTATTTTTCACCTACACCAGGAAAAACTGTCAGGGCACAGATGAAGTGTACCATGTGCAGTTAAAGCAAAAGAGGGACCGAGAAGTAAGTGGGGAGAAAATGTGGGGAAGACTATCAGAAATTTCTTAAAGATTCTTAGAGACATAAAACTTTTCTGAGAGCTTCCCAGCAGCCAGGGCAAAAGGAGAAGCAGGATGAGTCACCTTGTTTTCATTGCCTAGCTGGGGGCAGACCCAATCATTAGTAGGGACAAAATTCTCTTTGGCCATATGCCAAGATATCTTCATCCTGGGACTGGCAGCTGCATGGAGCGCCTGGGCTTCGTGGCACCTCTGAAGGAAACATGGAGACTTTCCCCTTTGTGGCTGTTTCCTGTGGGGCTTTGATGACAAGACCTTGTCAGATTGTGTGGGGCCCAGAGGGCGTGTCCAGGAGGACAGCCCTCTCCAGGCCTTTCACCAGGATGCTGGGAGCGAAGGGTCCTCCGCCCTCTTGGGGTGGGGGAAGCTGGAGGGAACCTCATGAGAAGAGAAGCCCCCGTGTGGGTCCTGGCTCAGGAGGACCATCCAGAAAAGCAGCCGTGTTGGTGGCCCCCAGAAACAGGAGTGGGACACAAAGTACTGCTGAGTGCAGGAGGGAGACCAGGAGCCGGTTTGGAGCTCCCCAGGATTTGGGGGCCTGTTGAATTGGTGTCCTGAATGTCTGGGGACTCAGGTACGAATGCCTCTTATTATCTGTGTGTTTGAGGTCCTTGTCCTTGAGCACTGTCACCTGATCCCACTTGAATTTGGAGAAGAAAGGGAAGGAAGTGACATTTAGAGAGCACTTAGCGTGTGCTGGGCCCATGCTGGACCTTCACTCCTAGGGCTGCAGAGCCCACCACGGTGGAAGGATCACGGTGTGAGTCCAGTCTCTGCCTCCAGGACTCTGCCTTATGTTCCCATTCACAGAAGGCCATCGTGAGAACTCCCGAGTGCTTGGCCACTTGTCGCAGGGCAAGGCAGGGAGGAGTTGTCCAAGTGGACCTAGGCCGGGGCCCTGGGGCTCACTCTCGTCTTCCTGTCTCCCCTTCAGAGCAGAGAGCTGAATGTGTGGGGCCGGGATTTCAAGCCAAAGCCCGGCAATTTGGAGAAGCAGGTCAGCTGGTGGAGTCCTTGCTGCCCACCAGCTCTCCTACCCTCAGGCCAACAGTGGGAGGGAGCTGTGGCCCTGAGCTCTGTCAGACCTGCTTAAGGGAGTGGTGGTAACCAGAGCGACCGGGACACTGTGGCCCATGCACTGGCCCATGCACGGTGTCAGGGTAGCACAGGATCTTCAGGGCCATCCAATCCAACAGACTCACTTTACAGATGAGGAAACTGAGTCTAGGGAGGGAGAGACTTGCCCAAGGACACACAGCAAGCTGGTGGCAGAAGGCCAGGTGTGGCCCAAGCATTGCAGGAAGATTGGGGGTGGTGTCCTGAAGGAATATGGCATTTGCATCGGGCACTGGGGCATCTCAGACATGCAGAAATGGCAGGTACCAGGCTTCGTTCTGGACACTTGAGTGTATGCGCTCACCGAATCTCAGTGTCCCTTCAGAGGCAATGTCTAGGTTTACAGGTGAGGGGATCGGGAGTAAGCCCCTTCTCCAGGTCACCCAGCTAGATGTGGAGTAGGATACCACAGGAGGAGAGGGTAGGTGGGGCCCGGGTGTGGGGGAGGGTCTGCCCTACCTGGAGCCTCTGGGGTCGCTGTGTAGCCAGGTACTAATCTTGAGGGATTTGGGCATTTCATTTGGGGGCACATTGTGGCAGGTTGGAGGCAGGGAGTTGGTTTGGCAGTTGGACCCCCTGCACCCTTCCCCAGGACTGACTGCTGCTCTTTGGAGACTGGGTCCCAGTCTATCAGCCTTTTTTGCTTTAAAGAATGTAAGTGACTGGAAGGAATGTTCCTGGTGGTGACGATCTTGTCACACCTCCCTGTGATCCAGAGCTCCCTGTGTGTCACTGTGGTGATGGAGGCAGGCTGGGCCTCAGCTTGGGAATGCTCCACAAGGGGAGCGGCCTGCTGAGTAGACCCGCAGCTGGCCCGGGGAGAAGGTGGAGGAAGGCTGGTGCTGGGGTTGACAGTGGCCCTTGTGCCTTGGGTGCCTCTGCTTTTCCTCAAACATGCGTGATGGGTCGTTGACAATAACAAACACAGTGGAGGCAGCTGCCAGGTTCTCTGGGACTTGTTTACAGCAACAAGGCCAAGACAACCCAGCTAGATAGGTGTGGGCCGACTTCCTGTTTTAACCACCAAGCAGCGCCTTCTCCAGGCCTGCCCAGCACTGCCAACTAGGGCTGTACTTAACTGATGAGGTTCTGTCCCCTCTGTCCCTTGGCTCCGTGTAGCAGGTAGTGTGGGGAGCTTTTGTAAATGAAGAATTGGGCCCACCCCCAGGGCTGTGGCTGAGATGGGGGGCATGGAGAGGTGTGCCTGTTCCCCAGGGGCTCCTCTCATGCCCCCGTCTCCTCAGCTGCCCTCTCCACAGACTTCACTTTGTGTCACCTGCAGGAATTACATCTGGCTCTAAGCTGGGTGCTCGGCCCCAGAGCCCAGATGCCACGGACTGCCTGGGCCTCCCCTTCCACCACATCTCATGTTGGCAGCACCTCCAACAGCACCTCCTTAGACCCCGTAGCACTGAGATGGGAAGCCAGAGATCTAGTCCAGTCGTTTCACTTTGCAGATAGGAAAACTGAGGCTCAAGAATGTTAGCGTTTCTTTAAACCCTTGGATGAAATGGGCAGCTCTCTTGTGAAGCACAGAGCTCCCCGTCCCTAGAGGTTTCCGAGCAGAGGTAAGGCACCTCTTAGGAGAGGACATGGAAGGGAATCAGGTCTCTGGTGGGGTTGACTCAAGTGACCTCCGAGGTCTGCATTAACCCTGAGGTCCTGAGGTGCCAAGGACCTGCGGCACCTGAGCTCATGACCTGCCTTCCATACATCGTGACTGTCCTTAGCTGTCCAGGACCAGCCCCATGAAGAGACCAGCTCTGCATAGGAAGGGTCTGGTTGGATCTGTTATGTCCTTCCTCAGTGTCCGCTATTTGGTCCTGTTTCTTGGCCCTTCTCACAGTCCATGCTGGCCTTGACCTCTTCTGTGCCTGGATGCTCACCTGGGCATTGGGTTCCTCGTGTATAAATTAAAGAGAAAGAACCAGAACCTTTCTGGGTTTGCTTCTGGCCTCCATTGCCTGTGTGTTTGATGTCCTTGGCCGAGCTGCTTCCCAGCCCCTTCTTTCCCTGTTCCTGAGACTGTCCCCAGAGAACCTGGAAACCTGCTGGTGCAGTTGGAAGGGCCCTCGGCTTGTGTCTCCAGTGGGTCTGGCTGCCCAGCTCTGGAGTGTCAGCATTGTAAGATTCGGCACACGTGCCCATGTGAGCCCTGCGTGGAGGACCAGAGGGCTGCTTGTCCCTTCATGTGGTATCCTGTGCATCAGAATCTCTGGCCAGTCTCCACGGCGTCCCCTGCCAGCTGGTTTTTTTATCCTTGCCAAAGCAGCAGGACAATTGAGTAGGTGGTCCTCAGGCTGCGGTGCACTTTGCTCCTGGCCATCCTGTGCTGGAGGCTGGACTGAGCATGGGCAGCACCGCCACTGCCCTCCAGGAACATCCATGAAGCAGGGAGGTGGGTTCCGACTGGAGTGGTCAGTGTCGATGCACCGAGATCCGCAGGTGGCTCTCTAGGAGTTAGGGGGAGGAATTGGCTTCCCATTTGGGTGGTCCGTGGGGGCAGGGGGAGGAGAGCTGGGGCTGGCAGCAGAGGCTGGCGATGGGACCTTCTGCATAGGAGTGGAGGAGGCTAAGGACTTGAAGGGCCCCTGGAGCGAGAGCCTGTAGAATGGACTGGAATCAGGAAGCCCAGGTCAGCCTTAGAAGCAAGGTCTCTGCAGCTGAGATCATCCCTGCACAGGCCTTCAGCCCCAGAAATTCCCAGCAGTACCCAAGGGTGGTGGCGACTCAGAAGACAGCCTTGAGCTCGTGCAGAGGGCTTCCCTGAGTGCCAGGCACTGCTGCAAGGATTAGCTCATTTAATGCTCACAGCAACCCGTGCCACACTGGTGCCCATTTTACAGAGCAGAAGACACAAGGTCCCGCAGCACCCTCCAGACCTCACGTGCAGCCAAGACGCCAGGAGTCTGAGGAAGTAGCTGGGCAGTTTACAGCTGCAGAGGCCCCTTCTCAGGTGTAGGTGTGACTCTAACCTTCCTCTCGGCCTCCTTTATAAAATCGTTCAAGGTGTCATCTCACCAGATGAATCACTTGAGCATTAATTGAAAGCATTTTCACATAATTTTTAATATGTAAGCAATTACACATTAAAAAGTCCTTAGCATGTGTTATTATTAAATCAACTTTATAGCATAATGAGAGGAAATTAAAAGAAAGTCATCTGCACAGAGCCCTGCTGCCCTGACGTGGCCGTCCCCGTCCTTCTTACCTGCGAC